CATAAAAAAAGGGATAAGTGGTCAGGTAGGCTAGCCTAGCTATACAAAAAGGATCCACCAACTCCATGGGCTCCTCTTCGGGGTCTTGCTCCATCGGCTCTTCCTCGGGATCCCAAAACGCTATGACGGACCATTCATGATCGGGGTCGGGGGTCTGAAATGGTTATATAATAACCATGAGACGAGTCTCAATAAGCAAGCACCCTAACCTCACCTAGGCTAACGCGTACCTCTAGACAAATAGAATAACACCCAACACATTCTATCAACATGCAATAACATTCAAAGGCACTCTCTAGCCTTACCTCGATACATATATATATCCTTGCATGTTTGTTGGATCGCAATAACATAACCAACTTCTCAATGCACATGCACTCCAAGATACAATCAATTTCCGACACATGCATTCATAATAACATTCCAACCTATTCCAATCTCAATCCCTACACATGCTCACATCTTTTAACTTCCGACACGCACATATGTCCACCCCGATCAATACCGACCTGCGTAACAAGCCTCAGGCCCACCTCATCGTACGACTCGCGTAATACGCATCAAGTCTACGACATGACTCGCGTAAAGACGTATCAAGTCGACGGTCCTCCGATTTATCCGGGCATTATCTCGCATAGCACGCCTCAAGACAAATATAAATTCCTCGTGTAAACACGCCTCAAGGATTATAGGATCAAACGTACATCCTCATTCAATCTCGTGTATTTCCCCGAGTCAACACGCTTCAGGGCCTATCGATCATACGCGATACATATCTCGTTCCCCCACATGCCCTAATCACACACAAACATGCTCAATTCCAAATCAACAACTCAGCCCAACCAATCCATTCATAAGAGCAGCAATATAGCTCAACCATATCACCCAATCATTTCAACACCTTTCAATTCACAATTCAAGCTATACACTCAATGGCATAAATCCACACATCCCAACCTTCAACTCAGCCACCATGCACCACAACTCAGCCACAAGAGGAAGAGAAAACTGAATACACAAAATCGGGGCAAATCTGGAACAGTGCACAGTTCTGGAATTTCTTTTAAAAATAAATAGTAATTCAACTCCAAAAATTATGAATTTCGGATATGTCCTAAACATCCTGATGAACCTTACCAAAAATAAAACATCCTGATAAACATTTTTCATGAGGAACACAAAACCCAGTTCTTCCTAGAACCACCTATTGTTGTCATCCAAAATCAAACATAAAATGTTTCATTCGGACTGGCCATCCGGCTTTCAAAATGCATTTCAAGCAGTAATCAAATCTCCTTAGAAAGCTTTGAAATTTTTATATGTTATAGCCACAAATGTTCCTAACAAGTTTTGTCAAGGAAGTATTTTGAAAATAGGTCTAGAAAAATTTATAAAAATTCGAACAGACCCGAAGGTCGGAGGAACAGTGTTTTCGGCAAACTAATTTCGGTCCAAAGATGGACTTCCGAATGGCCTCAAATGACTTCCAAAAATTCCCAAATTAAATTATGTTATACTTCAAGATGTTTTGACCAACTTTCATGAAGGAAAAAACCCCAGATTCAACCCACATAGGTCTCACCAAAAATAGCAAAACTCGGCGACACAGAAGTAACAAAATCCGGGAACACAATTAACAAGCAAATCAACCTGTCTAGCCCTTAAACAAACTAACCACAGCCACTAATCAACCCCTAATAAGCCCATTGGTAACCCCTTAGCTTAGACAAGATTTAGAATGCCACTTACAAGGGGCCTAAGCTTGAAATCAGCAAGACCAACCCAGCAAAGCAGTTGCTGTTCCGGCGGCCGGACGAGAAGGACGGCGGCTGCTCCGGTCACGGCGGTCCACGGCTGAGGCACGCATGACCTGGTGGTCACAGTGAGGGGTGGTGTTGGCTTTGGTGGTGGCTGGTCTGGCGAGGAAAAAGCTGGTCGCTGGCTGGAAATGAGAAGCAGAAGCGAAGAAGAAGCAGCAGCAACGAAGCAGGAGCAGAAGCGGCGAGGAAGGACGATGCACAGTGGTGGCTGGTCCAACACCAGTTGGTCTGGTCAGCGGTGGCAGTAAGAAGAAGCAGAAGTAGAAGCATGAAGCAGAAGCGAAAGGAGGAAGCAGTAGCAGAGCCAGCGAAGGAAGAAGCAGCAGAAACCAGAAGCAGAAGTAGAAGTCAGCGGAAGAAGAAGAAAAGGGAAGAAGAGGAGTGGGTAGGGTTGGTGGGGGAAGTCAGCCGAATGATGGAGGGAAAGGGAGGAGAGAGAAGGTCAAATGATGACCCCCACATAAAAATCTCCTAATAATTTACCCTTTTTATTTTGTAATTTTCTCAATTTCTTGTCCCCAAAAATTACCACCATGTCCTCGGCCCGGGTGCCGAATTACGGGTCTACTTGTTCTTATCGGGCCTTGATGACTAGCCTTTCTCGAGCGCAAGGCCCAACGGCTTTGCTCAGCTCACTTCCGTTTTTCACGTCAAATTTTCGACAAATCCAATAAACCTTAAGGTTGGCCACGCTTATGTGACATCGTCCAAATAAATTAGTCGTGACACTTCGAGAAATTCAACATCCAAGTTCGAATTTAGGGAGATTGTGGATGAGCACGCTTCTTCGATTATTGCCTAATTTGGTAGGTGTTAACTTTTTCATACTTTTCAAGAATCCCCATGGAGATTGTGGATGAGCATTTAGGGCAAACGAGTCCAATAAAATATACAGTTCGAAAAAGTTGTGAAACAATATTTATTGGTTCTGGAAATATCATCACCCTAATTTGATTTATAATAGTACAAACATTAGGATAAAATCATAAATAAGTTTACCAACTCTAAGGTCATGTTCAATAATGAATTATGTCAAACGATAATAATTACAGCTATAACTATATTTTATAGCAAATTAACATGATTAACTTTCACAATTCCCACAGAAATGAGCAATAGTATCCGTGCTTATAAATGAAATTAGTATTATATTCATTTTTTTTGTCGGAATATATTATATATATTTAGATAAGTCGATATAATAAACACAATCACAATTCATAGGTACTTTATTAATTTACTATAATAATTAGTTATAAACAGTAGTTGAATAATGTGTATAATAATCAATGAGGACGAGTATAGGGATATTCGAGTTAGTAATGCAGTGATTGTTATTTTATTAACAGTTAATGGTAAATTTTAATTATTTATTTACGGTCCACAATTAGAATGGAATCACAATTTCTCCGCTTAATACCCCAGCCAGAACAAGGGCTCAAACCGAACATAAACATTGTCAAGATGAGTTACCTGACTTTGCCAGAGGCCGACTGCTGTGACTTGAGAAGTAATCCCAGCTATAAATGAGTCTGCTTCATGCCCGAGAAAGCTAGAACCATTGCTGGGAAAAGGCATTCTCTCAAGACGTTTAATAAACTCCTCGTGGTCGAAAGTACGGGACTCTTGATCTTCAGAATCCATTCCCGGGCCCTTGTATGTGAGCAACTCGATTACAGAGTCGGGGGCTTGGAAACATGCCCAACCCGATTCAGAGCACAAAAGGAATGTACCGAAAGGCTTGTACGAGCTTTGGCCAGTGGCAGTAAGACCGAGGAATAATCTCGGGACACAATCATCCTTGTGAACCACATGCAAGAAGCAAGAATTCCATGTCGGATGGCGCGATACGGCTTGATGGAAGGCAGTGTCCCCGAGGAGGGGCGAACCAAAAGTGATGCAAAGGGGGAGTTTGTCTTTGGTTTGATCGAGCGTGTTTAGAAGTGACAATGTAAAAAGTGAGGCAATAGATCCATTCAGACAATGTCCTGTGATTATATAGGGGATAGGCTCCTTTTTTTCGTTCTTTTCTGCCGAGGAAATAGGGGCCACTAACTTGAAAGAATTTTTAACCTGCATTGAAGCAGAATGAGCATCCATGCATAGTCCGTAGGAGCAAATGAAATTTTCAATGCTAATACGTACCCAAGAGAGTCATTCCGCTCTTACGAACATGCTCGCATATAACAAGTGAAATTAATCTTCCAGGGGCAAATGAGAATGACCAAAATGTGGACTACAACGTGAAGTTGCACCTTGCTATATTAAGAGCTGTAGTTATATACTGGCCTATAACTGATCCAATCTATTGATTCTCACACTAATCCGTTTAAACCCTTTTGAGCTACAATTTGGGCAGGAGCCTATAAATTTTGCTAATGCATGATTCATCGTACTTTTACCTGTCAAATCCCTTGACTTTTACCATCTTTTGTACCTAATAACGTAATCGACAGTATATATGGTTCATCAGTTTTTTCTCGTGTTTATATGTGGTGTGCGTTTGGAAAGAGAAATGCGCACAAAATCATTACATGAAATGCCAGTTAGGCTAAATTCACTACTTAATATCGTGTAAAATCACTCATCCTTCAGAATATTAAATTATATGTTGCTTTGCATCATAACCAACAAATTTTAAGTGTGCTTCACCCACAATTTTATGACATTATTTGATTCACGATTCACAGAATGAAGATACTGATTTACAATCACAACTATGCTAAAGAAGAATAGAAAGGGCACACTTCTCTAGCAAACGGTGCTGTCACTTCTCATCTGACAATGTTCATGATGCAAACACGTCGAAAATTGTAATGGGACAACTATTAGCACGCGTACTTCGGTGGCAATATCTTTAGGAGACGATTTCTACGGCTGAGAAGTACTTTGAGGCCTTACAGCATGAGTAGAACCGACATCGACAAGTGATTCGCAACACGACACGCCGACACATTATTTTTCAAAAAATAGAGAATTTCGACACGTGAAGATACGTTGTATATTAATTGTATATTTTTATATATACGTGATAAATTATCATTTTATGATTATTTCAATTAAATTAATTTGATTCAAATCTACAAATAAATAAATAATAAAAAAAGAGTGTTGGACAAGTGTCGGTGTCTGACACATGTCCGACACGACACGGAGGCCCCCGGAGAGTGTCCGTGCTTCCTAGCTCACGGCAACTAATTGCTAGCTGTAATTGATAACTCGAGAGAATGGATAAAAGGGCCTACCTGTTCTCGTAGTTCCGGGAACTTGCCTCGAAGAGAGTTAAACAGAGCAAAAGCAGCTTCATTCATCGAAATAGATGGATGAGTATCGGAGGGTAGGAACTGCAAGCCAGGGTCAGACTTCGATATAAGAACCGAACCGCTTTTTTCTTGAAGATAACTTGTAGTGACCGGTGAGCCGACAAAGGCAATGATATTGTAGTCTGGATGGTGCTTAATGATGGTTCCAGGATATCCCCTCTATGTCCAGATATTGCATTCCATGAATCTATAAGAATATTTGATGACACAGCCAAGTTTGCCAAATATAATCCATTGCTGAATCTGCAATTCAGGAAAACAACAGACTGATATAATCAAGAAGTTTTAGCAGTCAAAGTGCATGCTCTTTCTTTGCAGATCTTGGATTTAGGCAATTCTGTTACAGAAGCCAAGTAAAGGAAAAGAAAATCTTTACACATGCTCAGAATGTTCCACCGATTCTATCCTGTGAAGGTTGTTGGATTGGCACAAACAAGGCAACTCAACCACTGAACCACGTCCTCTTCAGATTTATAGAACTCCAAGAAGGAATTTAGCAACAATTTGTTAAGCAAATTCATTATTCCACCGAAAGGAAACTCCATTTTAATCCTTGAGATGGGGTATCCTGGTAGCCCAGTTGGCTTGTTAGAGGAACGACCATGTGTTCATATTCGCTATTCCAAAAACGATTTTGAAACTCTTAAATTCATGGCCAGAAAAGAAAACTTAAACAGTCATTCAGTGGCCACAACAAGAAATTCCAAGTCATTTTTTTCTCAATTGGCCCTAGCCAACAGAGACGGGATTATGTATTAGGGCAGTAATATAATGTTTGACTGTGTGAAAAAATTAACCACTGTTATTCCGAGCACTGGCGTAGCTGGTTGAGGCGCCGGGGATTTGCAGCTGAAATCACCTCCTGTACAGGCCAAGTGGACTAAACTTGGCCTCGCCACTATGACGGTAAAGGTTCGCAAGGTCAAGTTACAGGAGTGGAAATCATGAGGAATGAATGGAAAGGGTTGAAGATTATGTGGTGAGGTTGAAGATGATATTTTTATTGTTTTTTATTTTACTGTTGAAGATCTGAGGTGACCAGGTTGAAGATGACCATATTTTTCTCTGTCCCTTTTTTTTTTTTTGTAAGTTTCCTTTTCTTTGAGTTTTGCAAAACAGTTATTTTTTAAATTTTATTTTAAGTTGTTAATAGCCGCCTAGGATGCAACGTTGGCATTTAATGATTTCTGTTTGCTTTTTTAACCAAAAAAAAAAAACAACTCGAACAAGAAAAACATATAGTTCGGGATCTAATTGAGAAAAAAGATTAGACTAAATTGAACAAAATGCAGAAATTGGGGGACTACCAGCAATTTTGTCCCTACTTATATAGTATCTATTTGTATATATAACGATGCCCCTTATTTGCTAGTAATAAGTAAATATTTAATGCTTCACGAAATAATATACACTAAAAAAAAGAAAAAAATATAATAATATCAGAGACTTATACAGTGTATGCCTAAAGGTGGGTTTTGCCTTGAACCTTTAGGTTGGATATAAAACTAGCAGAATTGTATTTACACCATACATGAGTTTACAGTAATCTCAATAGCACTTTTAATTGTTCTGATCCTAGTTTTTAGCAAAAACTTGTAGGACTTACGGGTATAATCTATAGGAAGCGGCCTCTCGCTTGCTTGCGGAGGCAGTCTCATCAAGAGTGCTCATAGCCGCGAAGAAAAGCACCAGCAACGAGCGAAAGAAGATGCCAATCGAGGCAAAAAAAAAAGACTCCCAGATTAGATTGAGAGAGAAAAAAACAGAAAATCAAAGCCTAGAAAAGAAAAGCAGGCTCTTAGCTTGCGAATTGAAACTGAGAGCCTGCATGTGAAATTTCTTTGAGCGAGGGTTTTTTGGGAGAGAGAGGGTTGCCAACATAACTTGCTGAGGGACAAGTTGTCATCAATGAATTGTTGATTAGCCTTATGCTTTTATGCGTTTTCGTGCATCCTGGATGTGATTCTAGTTCTAAAGGAAAGACTTAACTTATGAAGGGCAACCACTGCAAATAATAAAGAGGAAGGAAGGAAGGAAACGCCATTCTCTACTTGATGGTTCAATTGCAAAACTAGAAAGGAAAGTAACTTGGAAACTCCGAATCATTCCCTACGTAAGGAACAAGTACTTATCAAATCCAAATCGTTGATTGTGCTTTTTTTGATTGCCAAGGCTCTTTACCTTTATCTTGTTTTTGACCTTTACGCTTTGAGTTTCGTTGGTCTTAAAGGAATATACGAATGCCTCGCTTGGGTGCTTTTCTGCGGGCCCTTGCCTTGATTCGACTGCTTAGATGATAAGTTTTCCCTATTTACCATATTGAGACTTCGATTTACGTCATATATTAGACATTGTTTGCTGTTCTTTTTCTCATGCCTTAATCATGATACCGTTGGATTCTCTTCACGGTTTCTCCAATTGATTGTTAGGGTTGCAGTGGTGATGTTTGAGATAAAAAGTGAGGCAAACAATCGTTGCAATTAAAGATGGTACATGTGATCGCTATGTAATCCTTATCGTTAAGAGGAACTTCCCATATTTTTATATGCTTGTCTTTTGTAAAATATGCGATTTTGTCATTATTGTACTGTATTAGCCTAGTGATAAAAAGAAAATATGAATTGATGATATATTCACTTGCTTGTTAAAATTTTTCGTAACGTGTATGTTACTCATTTTACAAAACTGTCATGGGAGAAGAACACTAGATGTAACAGTCTGAATTTTCGATCCTTTTCCCGGGATTTAAGAAATGAATATGACCAATACACTATAGTGAGATCTCACCCGGAACAGCGCATTCACGGGATGCTAACCTTAGGGGTAGGGCTATTACGGGATTGAGTTCGCACAACCAAAGAACTCGACCTGGGTTCGACCTTCGACCATAAGGATTGACGAGGGAATGTTTTGGGCCAACAGAGACCGATCTAATTGATTGATCGTGTCCGAAGGGAACTAGTGACAGACCCTCGCAATTATATGACAACCGAGGTCGTCCCGGGTAGAATAAACTTAAACGTGATTTGACTTGATGTCGGCCACGGGTCGAGAGCGCGTAATCCTAATGAGTCACCCGTTAGCCAGAGATAAGCTAAAGTTGCGATTGTTCAATTTTAGTCATTTCTTGGAATTCGGGCCCGGGAATCGAGAATTTTGAAAGTGACAATTTTGAGCGGCCGATGACGTTTTTGGCTTGGCCAACCTTGGGGCCACCCATTTCTGCAAAAAAATGGATTTCGGTTCGGGACCGGGAAAATTACGATTTTGCCCCTCGGAACCCCGACGTTGATTCTAAGGCCGTATGAGATTATTTTTCGAGGCCGATGTCATTTTGGAGTGGCCACGCACATTTAGAGTTGTTATGGTCAAAAATTGGAATTTTGGCTCAGAAGTGAAAAATAATATTATTTTAATCCCTAGGACTTTACAGTCGATTTTCGAGGGCTTAAGAAGCTATTTTCGCGATTCCGACGCCATATTATGTTGGCTACACCCATTTGGGGTTGGTACGGGCGAAAAATGGAATTTCGACCGGGGACCGGAAAAATGACCATTTTGCCCCTGGGCCGTTTTCAGTTCCGAATTTTGAAAAAATATTTGGGATAATTAAGAGTACTTATCAGCTGGATTATTGGACCTAAAGACCATTGCGCCCCTCAATTATTTGGATAGGATCAACGAGGACCGTCGGATTAAGGGTAAAATGGTCAAGTGTGTAGGATTGCGACAAGTGTCCCCTTTTGGCCCCCCATCTTTGACCGGTCAGATCTCTCTCTCTCTCACCTCACCTTCGGCCATCCCCTCTCTCCCACGATCAGCCCCTCCTCTCCCGTTTTCTCTCTCTCTCTCTCTCCCGAAATTATCTTTCTCTTTCACTCTCACGTTCTCTCTCTCTCCTCACCCTCACCCCCACCAATCGGCCCTCTCTCTCTCTCCCCTCTCCTTCGTGCGTGACCCAGCAAGGCCGGCCATCAGCTCGCCGCCGCCGGTCGCTGCCCAGCCCAGCCGCCCGGCGTCAGTGCTTCTCCTTTCCGGCCACCGTCCGCCTCTCTCTTCTCTCTCCGTCTTTCCCTGTTCCGATCGGCCAAGCTGCCGCCGAGCCACCCTAGGCCGCCTCCCCCTGCCCTGTACGTGACCATCGCCACCCTCAACCGCCCGTTTGCCGCCGGCCAGCCACCCGCCTAAGGCAGCTCAGCCGCTCGCTTGCTTGGTCGCCGGCGCCGTTGCTGCTGCTGCTGCTGCTGCTCTGTTCTGGCCACCATTCAGCCAGCTTGCCCTGTTTTTATTAGGTAAGTGACTTCCCTAATCGACACCTAGGACCTTGGGTATTGCTAGGCTCGTTTAGGACTTGGTTTAGGCATTTTAGGGGCTATTTTGGGGCTGAATTGAAGGCTGGAAATTAGTTTGTTGTGGACTGATTTGGCGATGAAATTTCGAGGTTCAAGAGGCTTGGTTAGGGCTGAGATGTTGTGGTTCGATCGGGATTAAATTGTGTGATTGATTGGAATTGTTATGGCCTGATTAGGCTTAATTGAATGACTGCACGAATGGTGATTGTGGGTTGGTCTGGATTGTGTTTCAGACAGTGTATGTGTGACCGTGTATGCTATGTGTGGCCGCGTGTGCCATGTGTGTGATCGTGAGGTGTGCCGATGTTATCGTGCATTGAAGTTGCGTGCCAAATGTGGTGGCGTGATGATGCGAATGTACATTGAATTCGCGTGTTAAGAGTGTGTGATTAGATGGCGTGTTCGTGTGGCGAGAATGTGCAATTGTGAAATGTGTGTGAAGTGTGTATGTTTGGCCGTGCGTTTGTTGGCTGTGTGTAAGAGTGGTTTGAGTGGAACGACGGTATGGAAATGTAGGATTGGTTGGAAAGGATCCGTCCTGAGGCATGTTCGTTTACGCGGGACGATGCCGTCCCTGACGCGGTGACGATGCTCGGCCCCACGGGGTGTCGATGCCTGACGTGGTCAGAAGACCGTTGGCCTGATGCGTTTTACGCGGGCACGGTAGAGAAGGAAAGTTGAGTGTAGGATTCCGTCCTAAGGCGTGTTCGTTTACGCGGGACGATGCCATCCCTGACGAGGTGACGATGCCCGGCCCGACGGGGTGACGATGCCTGATGAGGTCAGAAGACCGTTGGCCTGATGCGTTTTACGCGGGCGCGGTAGTGGTGGAAGAGTTGAGAATGAGCGGGAATTGGCTTGAGGTGCGAGGCTTGAGAAAGTGACGCATGGTGTGAGTTAGTGTGCGAGTGTGTTTGTATCGCGTGATGTGATGCTTAATTATGGGGTAGAAACTGCTAGGCACGGTATGGGACGTGCCCAAGTGGTTTCTGTTTTATAATTAAGGCACGCGCGCGTCTGTGATTCCTTGCTGTGATGTGCTGGTTGTATTATGGTCTAACATGCAGGAACATGCATGATGGGTTCCAGGTAGGTTCGTGTGTGATTGTTAGAGTGATTGATCGTTGTGTGAGATGCGTGTTCTGTCTGGCGGTATGTGAGTGCCTACGTGGGGTTTGGGGTTGTACACTTATTGAGATTCGTCTCATGGTTGTATAACCACCACTTTCAGACCCCCAGCCGTAAACCCAGGGAGCCCGCTTCCTCTTTTTGAAGTACGAAGAGCCGCCCATGGTGCCCGGTGGATTCACAGGCGATGCCCAAGAGATTTCCGGAGGATTGAGCCAGATGAATTAGGAGCAGAATGGAGAAGGGCGACCCTTAGGTTCTTCCCTAGGATAAATTTTAGGGATTGTGTAGTTTTGGGTAGACCTATAGTGAAGTTAGGTTAACCAGACCCCTGATATTTTATAAAAACGGTGGCGGAGGATGTTCGTCGGTATTTATGTCTGTAATATGATGTTTGTATATTTGGTGCTGTATGAGCATGTTGTTGTTTGATTCTTATGGTGTTCGACCCCGTCGTCGTCATCTTTCTGTCCGGGGTTTTTATATTCGCTTCCGCATGTGGCTCTGATGTTTGGGTTGGGTCGGCGACGTTCCTGGGACGTCGCATCATTTCGACCGGAGCCGGATGTCGCGAGCTCGATGGGGTTCGGGGCGTGACACTAGAAGTGCCAAAAGATATGTACGGCGCTAACTTTAGTGCCAAAAGTTTTCGCCGGATCACTTAAGTGCCAAATTGGAGAAAAAACGATCACTTAAGTCTCAACGGCGAGAAATTTCGGCCAAATTAATACGTGGCTTTTATAATTAAAATTTTAATCTGGGTTGGGTTTTTTTTTTAAAAAATCAGTCTATTTGGCATTTTCATGTGTATATTTTGATTTTTTAAATATTTTTTCTGATTTTTTTCTTTCTTTCCTTCTTTTCTTTTTTTCTTTTCTTTCTACTTCTTCTACTTTTGGCCGGTGACCAGACAATGACCACCAGTCACGGCCGGCCGCCTGGCCTCACTCGAATGAGGCCGCCGTCGCTCGCCACAGGCAAGGCTCGGCGAGGGTTGGGCTCGCCTAGGCAAGGGCGCCCCTCGCTAGATCCAGCGAGGCCGCCGTGGCCTAAGCGAGGGCGAACCTCACCGGGGCTCGCCCTTGCCCAGGCAAGGGTCGGCCTCGCCTCGCTAGATCTGGGCTAGGCGAGGGCCGGCCTCGCCGGATCTGGCGAGGGGAGCCCTCGCCGGGGCTCGCCCGCCCTTGTCCAGGCGAGGGTCGGCCGGGCCTTGCTTGTGGCCGGCAACGGCGGCCTCGTCCGAGCGAGGCCAGCCGGCTAGCCATGGCCAGTGGCCAATGTCCGGTCACTGACCAAAGGTAGAAGAAAAAGAAAGAAAAGAAAAAAAGAAAAGAAGGAAAAAAAGAAAAAATCAGAAAAATATTTAAAAAATAGAAAATATATGAAAATATTATTAAAAATTGTCTCCGTCAGCGCCGGCAGTGCCACGTAGGACTGAGAAATTAATAAAATAATGCCACGTCAGATTTCCGGCGATC